TTAGCGGATTCCCTTAGACGCTCCTTTTTCTTTCTGAAACGGTATATTGAATTATTTCTTTTCCTCTGTTGGCCAGAATATTGGTGAAATATTGGTCGGCAAAATAAATAAATATGCCATTTAATAAATAAGTCGGCCTACTACTCAAATACGAATTTCCTCTAAAAATGTATGCATATATGTAGTTAAACAAGATGAGAAACAAAAGAAAACTTCCCTTAGCCGACCTGTTCCGTCCACTGATAATGTCCTTCAGAAACGGGTCAGCTACAATATTTTTCATTCTCTCTTTCTTCATATATGTGTGTGGGGGGGTGCTCGCGTGTGTGTGTGTGTGACCTGTCAATATACCACATAACACCCTTGAGGGCTTAGCCTTGGAGCGGGTAGAATGGAGATCAAAGTGTTTTACTGAACTAAACAGTTTTCAGTCAGCTTGTCTAAATCGTCTTCAAGAAGCGAGAGCAAGATCTAAAAGGTCAGCTAATCTAACAGTGATCTCATCTCACAATCCTCACTCTTGTTCCATATGTAGGCTCCTTTGTAAATCATTATCGGGTCTTAAGTACCACTAGAGATTATCACAGAAAATTTCATAACTGAATCAATGAAGCTGTCAGATCCTCATAAGTCGAAATCGACGGGGGGGGTCCATAATCATATAGTTTTCAGTCAGAACCTGGTGATTTCATCGAACATGAACCCCAGGGTAATTCTGTAACCTGTGAGGAAATCAATTTTTTATTATTAATATAAGTTATATAGATCTGTTATTATGTATCGAACACTATGCTATTAACACCAGTACACAACGTGCGATCTTTATATATATTAAAACCGATCCACAATAAAGAGCTCAATGTATTTATTATTACAGAGCAAATAATTAATACACGATAAAATCTAAAATCACCTCAAATGGGAATAAGCTTGAATTTTAAAATTATTATTTCGTCGGTTGTGATTTGGGATTTTATTGTATATATATATATATATATATATATATATATATATATATATATATATATATATATAGTTGGATTGATGTGAATTTGTGATACTGGGTTTCACGCTATTTGCGATCGTCAGAAAAGTTAGGTTTATCTGACGATCGCAAATAACTTGAAACCCAGGGTCACAAATTCACATCAATCCAACTAAATATGTTAGCTCTATCACTGATATTGAGCATTGAGCGCTTTCCAAAAACTACCGCGCATATATAATATATAAATGATAAATACAAAAAATTGCCCATATATATATATATATATATATATATATATATATATATATATATACATTATCTCACACACACACGCACACGCACGCACACACACGCACACACACAAATATATATATATATATATATATATATATATATATATATATATATATATATATATATATATTAGTATTTGTCTTAAGTAATATCGGTTTTGGTGAACAAAAACATAACATCTTAATTATGCCACTTAAGAATAATTTTGATCATACTAACCCACGACAACGTTCAAAGAAATAACGCAAAGAATTGATTAGAATGAAACACTAAATGTACACTTATAAATCAAGCAGCTGCACCCAAACCATGCAAAATTGGTAAGAAATTACGCTACATTCGTCAACTCAAAGGAATATCGCTCTAATTCTTTACAATACGACGTCACATAAAGCAAGAACAACACAAGAAAATTGTGTTACTGATTTTACTTTTTTTTGCATTCTTCTTAGAATTTTCCATAAGAAACAGAAAAAATCGTTTCAAATAAAGAGTAGTTGAAGGTTGCGTAATACCGGTCCTGCTATATGGCAATGAATTCTGGACAATCTCATCGCAAATGATGAATTGCGGTGGTAGCACCAGTTAGGGCCCCAGCTATGGGCAAATATGTAACCCCCAAATTGGAGTCAAAACACTATTACGAAATATTACCTGTAATGCAGTTTTTGAAAAAATAATATCACCAGTAACACATATTTTTTTAAAATTACTAGTAATAAATTTGACACTCGATAAAAACCGACTTTTTAAAAATACGTAAATGATACCTGACCTATATACTAATTTCTTACAAACACTATGTATTCTTTTCATACGAATCTATCCTAATAATCTTGTCGGCATTAAATAATCCATTGAGGTTGATATGCCGTAAAACAAAATAAACCAAAACTCTGATCTACAAAGTGATTTCTTACAAAGAATACATATTCTATTCATACAATCCTATCCTTAAAATCTTGTCAGCATTAAATGACTCATTGAAATGTTAATATGCCGTAAAAGAAAATAAACCAAACCAAGCAAATAAGAAGTTAGAAATAGCATTCCTCAGGAGGAAATTAATAACTAAACATTTAATCTGAAAACTGAATGCATGCAAGCAAAAGGTCCAGAGCATATATAGACAGGATTGGTAAGTGCGACAAAGAAATCCGAAGACTCGGTGGGATAGGCAGTAATACCTTCCAAAAAGTAATCAAAGTATTAAGAAACAGGGAAAATATCGCTAGAAACAAAGCAAAGAGTACTAAAATGTTATGTAATATCGGTACAATGATATGGCAGTGAATTCCGGGCAAAATTTCCTCACTGATGGAGAACATTAGAGTAAAGAAGTCCGTCTTTATAGAAGTATGCTGTGAATATGTGAGCAACGACATGGTTTTAGAGAAAAGGAAACAGAAAGGACATTTAGACTTAATATAAGGAAGAGACAGTTGATATTTCTGGGGTACATAATGAGGAAAGAGTACTTGGAAAATCTGATACTCACAGGGACAGATTGAATGCAAGAGAAACAGAGGAAGACAGCGGATAAGCTGCCTGTCGAGTTTGAGTGATTCGATGGCAGTGCAGATTTTCAAAGAGGTAGCAAAAAGACAATATTAATTATGGACTATAAATGAGAGGGAAATGGGGAAGAGTCATGATCGCCAATGTCTTGAATATACACGTCACGCAAAACAATAACAAAAAATGACAAAGTTCGTAATGGCAAAAACCTAGCACACGGCCGAAAATATGGGGCACCCCGTGAGGATCGAACTCACTACTCAGCCGTAATAGTTCTTGCTTGCTAACCATTACACCACCTTGAGGTGTCCAAATGATTTTCTAAGCATAGCTTAGATGTGGCACAAGGCCGAAAGTATGGGGCACCCAGTGAGGATCGAACTCACTACTCAGGAAGTAATAGATCTAGCAAGACAAGCTTTCTAAACATTACACCACGTCGAGGTGCCTAGTGATTTTCCTATGCACAGCTTAGATGTGACACAAGGCCGAAAGTATGGGGCACCCAGTGAGGATCGTACTCACTTTTCAGTAGTAACTGATCTAGCAAGACAAGCTTGCTAACCATTACACCACCTTGAGGTGTCCAAATGATTTTCTAAGCTGATGTGGATTTTCTTTGATGTGGCACAAGGCCGAAAGTATGGGGCACTCAGTGAGGATCGAACACACTTTTCAGTAGTAACTGATCTAGCAAGACAAGCTTGCTAACCATTACACCTCAAGCAAATCAGTCTATATCTATAATTCTCAAAATGTGTGTGTATGTATGTGTGTTATCGGATGTTTATACAATTCAACAGTTTTATCCGATTTCGTTGACTTTTTATTTGTTTGATAGATAATTCTTCAGTGTTGGTTTAGAGTCCAATTTCTTGGCGACAATGGCTCTCCACTACTTCCTGTCCATTATAAATCTCAGTAACGTTTTACTATTTACTATTTATTCTTGGATATATATCTTTCATAATAACGTTA